TCACCAGTGATGATTAAAAATTAAAACGAGAAACTTATAGTCAACCCCACTGGTATATTCCTTTATTTGTTTAATACAACGTTTCGGCCCTATTTTTGGGTCCCTTTCAAGTAGTACTGCAAATCAACAACACGCGCAATTATAAGATTTTGTAAGTTAATAAGTAAAACGAATGGAGGTTAAGAAACGAACCTAAGTGAGTCATCGTCGTCACATAAGACAGAGTCGAATTATAAAAATACGTGTACACGTGAGCACTGTGGTTGCTGGGCTCGAACTAATTTGTAGGTATTGTCTTAGGAACAAAACAAGGTGATATTCCTAAGACAATACTTACAAATTAGTTCGAGTCCAGCAGCCACAGTGCTCACATGTACACGTATCTTTATAATTCGACTCTGTCTCATGTGACGACGATGACTCATTTAGGTTCGTTTCTTAACTTCCATTCGTTTTACTTATTAACTTACAAAATCTTATAATTGCGCGTGTTGTTGATTTGCAGTACTACTTGACAAGGACCCAAAAATAGGGCCGAAACGTTGTATTAAACAAATAAAGGAATATACAAGTCGGGTTGACTATAAGTTTCCCGTTTTAATTTCTAAATTTAATTTCAGTGATACCATGCTGCTCGCTGATTTAATCCGATTAGTAGAAACTGGTCGGTCTGTACACAAAAGCCACATAATTTGTATATTACACAAGTTCTTTTCATGAATTGACAATTCTAGGAGCAAAAGGTACAAAAAGTGCAGAATTACTCCAGTATCCCCTTTCAGGGGGGTCCAGACATGTGTCGTATCACCGTATCGTATCACGATCGCCTTTTATCATGATACGGATACGCTAATGATACGGCCAGGTCTTGTTTTCTGCTCGTATCCGTATCATTTATCCGTATCTTTAATTTAGTTTACCACCTAGTACAGTTCGTATCATTTCACGTTGCCTACCGTGATGAAGATCGGGAACGCGTCTACACTGCCAGTGCCTGTGTCACGTATCATTCCTTTGATGTTTCGGTAAAATACCGATTCCAAATGGATCATACTTGTATCGTATCTGCGTATTAAGATGATACGCAGATACGATACGAGATACGAATACGGCGCACCGTCCCCACTAGGCTCGTCATGATGCGCGATTATGATACAGTGATACGACACATGTCTGGACCCGCCTTAAGACATAGAACTATCGATACGCAAGTTTAAGTATCCCCGTGCCCAACTCTTCCCCCAACTGCTGTTTAAATTCGAAAATAGACGCGAAAATATCATTATTAGACTGTTTATTGCGATAAATACAATATTACCACATGCCTCAGTGGACGAATTAGTGAGACGCCCGCCTAGAGTGTAGGGAAGTCCAGGTTTAAACCCTGGCTCAGATAGTATTCTTCGCAATAAACTTCTTTAATTAGAATTTGCCAGTTGTGTCGTTTATTAATTTTCCTACATTGGTTAATTATTTACTGGCGACAATAAGTCTTTATTCTTATTATAATATTATATTTATATCGAGGGCTTTAAATAATAGCTTGCATTATTTCCTAATGTGTGTACTTCAGTATTTTCCTTTAGGACAAACACAGTTGTTTCTCGAAAGAAAGGATTGCGACAAAAATAACTTATACTCTAAATAATCACGTAAATCGAATTGGAAGTAAAACCCAGTTGTTACGTTTCTAGTGTTAATTTTCTTGTCTCGGAATATCCGTTCTCGCTCGGCTTCGGTGATGGATTAAAAATTTAATATCCTGTTTCGCAAGTTCGCGCCCACAGGGCGAGCGATGTGGCTTCTCCGAAAAAAAGGGCTTTATTTTCACGGAGCGCCGAAATGTTACATCCTAATTCCATTTTGTGTCCTCCATGCGCCTTTTTCATCCTCGAACGTCTCTTTCTTTGCCTACACTCTCGCTCAACAAGCATCCGCGTAAGCACTCTAATTGATTCTCGAGTACAAGAGTAAAGTTATATTTTACAATTTTTGCTTCTAGTAAGAATTAATCTCGTTGTCGCAAAGCTAGGACGTATAACATTCGAATTTCTGTATTTATGCACGGAGAGAATTTTTTCTTAAAATTTATCCTGAAAATCATGTAATCGTGAGACAGCGGCATTTCGAAGAATTTTACGAGTTTTTTTAAATTTCATTTTACTACCAATTATACTTGTTAGTATACGTTTTACTGGTAGAATGTATGGCACAATTTCAAAAAACTCGCATAAAGTTCTTCAAAATGCCCACGATTACGTGATTTTCAGGGTAAATTTTAAGAGAAAATTCTCTCCGCGTACTCAATGGATTCTAATTTCCAACGAAAATAATCTCAACACACCTTATTGCTAAATATGAAACATTTTGTAAAGTAATTATGTATTCAACTGGAGAATCCGATAATTTCGGATACTCTATAGTTTCATCATTTAGAGGATAATGATGTCGATTATGTTTTAATTGCAACGCTGTACTGCCGTCGCAAATGCATTTTATTCTCTTCCTTTCTCTCGCCCTCTATCCACCTCTCTATCTTGTAGGACGCATTCTCTGGCAATGCAATGGTCAATCCGCGCAAGCATGTACATACATATGTGCTCGTGAAACATCGTATATGCGATCGGGCGTTCAATGGAATGGCACGGACTCGCCGCGCGTTATCCACTTTAGCGGATAGCGACGCGGAGCGGATTCTAAATTGAAGTTTCGAATTAAACCGTCCGGATGATCCGTCTCATCTGCCGGAGTCGCTTTAAGGCTCGCGCGTGCAATTTTGTTGTCGGCAAACATGTCGCCGTGGAGACTAGCCGACTTTAATGTGAAATTATGGTCCCCCGAATTAATTTGTCGATTCCTGCACCACCTCGGGCGACGCGGAGCGAAGCGACGAAGCGGAGGCGTCCAAAAGAGGATAAGCACGGTGATGAATATCTAAATTACTCATTACTGAACTTGTCCGTCACCCGAGTTGCTTGATTAAACAGGAATAAAAGTGTAATGATGAATTAAACTTCAGCTTGTAGCTCAGCGAAGTAATAACTGATAACACGGCGTTAAAAGTGTCGCAATAGATTAAATACATATTAATTAGGAAGTTGAGAAAACAATAAATAAAAAAATATAATAAACCATGCACTAAGATGCAGCTTGACCGTTAAAGGCGTTTCTCTTCATGTTAATTAATTGCGAGAGGAAAGTTCTCTATTATGAGATAGGTTTCTAATATGAGACAGCAGGTTTTCAACACCCAAATTCGATTACACAATATAGCAATGAATTTTAAACGGTTTTCGCTCCAAGGGCAATAAATTCATGGTGAAATCAACTAACGATGTCCCGTTATCCCATATTAAGATTCTATCTCATAATAGAGCACTTTCTTCTAAATATAGTTAATTAAATTAGTAAAAGGAATTGTGACATCGCTAATTAAGATTGATAGAAACAATTCATAGCTGAGGAACACAATCCTATATAGTCCACGTGAGAATTACGTGAAGATCGTGTGTTTCTACCTGCAACACATCTACGCACAGAGTGTCGCGTTGTCTCATTAAAAAAAACCCCATATCGGACTCTCCTCGGGGATGAAATAAATCGCAGTCGCATGTTCGCCGGTCATCTTCCCACCCGGCGGCGATGCCTCGCATACGAGGGCGGTAGCTTCCGACGGCGTGCGAAATTTTCGCGATCTCGTTTGACGCGCGACGGCGCGAAAAAGTGCATTCGCTCACCTATGCGCCGACGTAACTGCATTCAACGCACGTCCCGCGAGTTTATCTCGGCAAAGAGGGGCTGACATATTGGGATCGTTCTGGTCGTCTGGCCGCGTTTATGTACTCTCTCTGCGCGCCAGCTCAGTGCCCCAAATGGGATCGTCCTTTTAGTTCTTTCTTTATCCTCTTTTTTTTCTTCCGCTTAACTTTGGACGGTTGGACCACTTTTTGAATCCACGATTATTATCATTCGGATCTTTCCCTTCTACCTTTATAACGGTCGTAACGGGAAAGGTATGGAGAAATTACAACCAATATAAAATTTCAATATTCCTCGAGCATTGTATCGTATTTTCATTTGTCGTTAACGGAAAGTGCCAAGATTCAAAATTTTTTCAGGAATGATTAAAAATTTTTTCATTTATGTCTATCGTTCTTTTAATACATAATATATTTGCTAAGAACCTATTGTTACACGAACGCGTAAATGCATGAAGGCTTCCAATTTATATCTGCTTTGCAAAATTGCGGTTAATACGAATCAAAAGATATATACAAACTTTACAGTATATATAATCGATTAATTTAATACCGGGCATAAAAATATGTAGTTTTTAAAACAAATTTCATTAACTTAGCCTAAATGTTGCGCTTCTTAAATTAAAGAGAGTTTTGTTAGCGAATGCAGTTCTGGTTGACTGTCTTAAAATTCATCATCTAGGATTGCATGCATGAAACTACTGCATGCATGTGCAAACATTGATAAGCAGCCAATATTTACCGATAACTTATTGCATCGATCGAATAGCCAATATTGAAACGTTACTAATGTGACATGTTATCTGTCGTTAACCATATCGAATGACAATTTTGTAAAGCAAATCGATAAGCACTTGGCACGCAAAAACATCGGTTTACTGAAGCAGTTTGAGGAATAAGCGAAATCGCTGAATCCAATATTGCAGTGAAAAAATTAGTCATGTCTTACATTAAAGGGTACGTTGGTTTCGCCATTTAGTGAATTACAATATAATGTTAATCAAAAAATTTACACAAATTTTAATCTGAAAAACCTATTTTTACACGCGATCTATGATTGTCTACACTTAATAAAGTATTGAAAGAGTAAAGAATAACATTATATTAAGCGAACACAATACAGACGCGTTAAGTAGAATCTTATTATTCACTCATTAATATTAATTTACGTCTAAACCATCCATACATTTATCTACGATATCTAGACAGCTATTATAATTATATGCTATTTTCTCGTTACAGGTGTAGGATGAAACAATGGAGACAGGATTTGCCTCCGACTTCCGTTATAATTACTTTTCACAACGAGGCACGGTCTACACTACTCAGAACTGTCGTCAGGTAAATTAGAAATAGTTTGACTCTTACGTAAAATGCAATTACGCCCAATAGTTTATTAAATCCTTTTTGGAACTTTTCCTTGGGCATTGTGTATATAAATAACCAAACAGATTTGTATATTTATTTCTTTCGTCTCGAATTATGAAAGCGTCAAATAAACAAGAATGTGTAGGAAAAGAAGAGGGCAAAGTAAATCCTGCGAGAGTATTGTATTAAATTATGCAAGGATATCCGTGCAATAAAATTCTCAAACGCAAAGTAATTGCCAATGGGCAAATTCTCACGCGATCGTAGATAGTATACGTGCGCCACGGCGATCTTTAATTCTCGATGCATCAACGGGTTGCGAGAAGCGCGAGAGGATTCTCAATTCGAGCCGGAAGTGGGCGATGGCGATGGAAAGCGTGCAATGGAATTTTCTAATCGTCATTCCATCGTTTTATTCCTCGTGCTTATTATGCGCTCGTACACACGGACGCGACGAACTGAAGAATGCGAAAGATCCTCCGATATATGAAAAATGATCAGGTCTACGAAGAAATATCAAATTTATTTCTTCATTTTGATTGATGATGTAAAACGCTACCGACTAATGACGATTGAATTAATGTGATTCGAGTAACATATAAATCTTTGATATGACGATATTACATATGAGACTTTCAACTTGCATTTACATTCTTTCAAAACGTCTCGCATTTTTACGCAATAATTAATAAGCAAAGTGATTTACCGGTTTTCACTCGGCTACGTACATCTTTCGTCGCTTCTTCAATTAAAAAATTTTCTTTTTCTTCATAGCTGATTCTGTCCACTTTTTTCGGTATCATTTATCTAGCTAGGAACATAAATTATTACATTTTCTCATAAGTGTTCTCGTATTAATTAAAACATTTTTTGCTACGCGACGTCACTCCGAGTGAAGGAAAGTACGAGCCGCATTACTCGCCGGAGGTAGCCTCCGTGCAAAAGTTGCTCGAAGTTCTCTCGTCGAACCGGAAGAAGGAAGCAGGCAAGAGTCGGAAAATTTATTTAAGTCCGTAACATGGCGGCGTCAGGGAAATATATCGGCCCTATCGCGTCAGGTCGATGAAATTAAAAGGAAGTCTTAATTACCGCGACGAGACCACATTTCATCACCATCTTGATGTTGCGCGCGAAATTCTTCGCGATCGATTTTTCGTCTCGCTTTTTCCAAAAGTTAAGACGATGTCTTACAATTAATGTTATCCTAACAATGAAGAAGAAATTTATAAAACAATATTTTATTGTCTAATTGATACAATTATTGATCAAATTGCTGACATTCAGGATTAATTAAAAAAAAAGATTGTAAAGGTAAACTTTTTCCATTAATATTAAGAGATTGTTTTAATTAGTGGAAAGGACCCTAATTATTTGTTACAATCCTCGTAACTTTAAACTCACGAGTAGAATGGAATGGTGCAATACGAGAACGTTCAAACAAGGGACAAGTGGTGCACAAAGTCCTCGAAACTTTGATAAAAGATTCAATCGGACAATCTCCGAAGCTTCTGTTCTTCTCTTAATCTCAGTTTATTCGACATTAATCGACCGGAAAAGTTTATATAGAAATGAATGATAGTGATTCAGGCAAGAAACGGCGTATTGAGCTCTTAAATTGAATCTGGAGAAAAAGCGTGTTGAAAAATGACCATGTGTCAATATTAACATTTCAAATATTACCATAATTAACAGTAAGATGCATAAGTATAAATAATTAATAAGGCAGAAATAAAAAATTAATAATACAACTGTTACGTATTACTTTAATTTATTATTTGTAAAATTTCTGAAGTAATAAAATAGAGAAAAATATAATGTATGATAAAACAATAGCAGTGTTCTTTAAATATATGAAAAGGTTGATATTTAACTTCAAATTAACAATTCTTGCTTTTTTGCTTTTAGTGTTCTGAACAGAAGTCCCGAACATCTAATCAAGGAAATTATTTTGGTGGACGATTTTAGCGACCATCGTAAGTAGTTTTACGTACTAATTTACTATAATAGTTCGAATCTTCGAAAAACATAATATTGTTTAACCAATGTAGAAAATTGCATGACGACCAGTAGCTGGCAAAATCTAATTAAAGAAATTTATTGCGAAAAATATTACTTCAGCGAGGGTTTGAACCTGGACCTCCCTACACTCTAGGCGGGCGTCTCACCAATTCGACCACTGAGGCATGTAGTAATATTAGTCGCAATAAACAATACTACTGATGACATCTTCGCGTTAATTTTTCTGCTAGAACTGATCGCCGATTCGGGTTGTCGGCTGTACACAGAACTAACGAAACGCGATTTTAAGTATCCCCGTTCCCTACCCTTCCTGGACACCCTGGACACCATTATTCGGTCAAAGTGTATAAATGTATAACATGTATAAAAAAAACAAACCCTGGCTGAGGTAATATTTTTCGCAATGAATTTCCTTAATTAGAATTTGCCAGCCATTGGTCGTCATGCAATTTTCTACATTGGTTAATCAATTACTGGCGTTCAATAATTCTTTACGTTATAATATTGTTCACTTTTAAGCAAATTTTTAATTCCATTTTTATTCAATTTCAATGTACAAGAAATACAATGTAAAAGAAACTATAATAAAATCTGATATATAGAATTAGGAATGTTGAAAGATGCGCGGGGATCAAGCTATGAAAAGAGTATTGCATGTAATATCAAATGGAATTTAGTGTAATTAAAATGCTAATTATATGTATATTCAATTACGGAAAATTGTGTTTAATGTTACATTTAATATTGCGTTTAATACCATTAAAAGGTCGATGACCCATGGCTAGTTTCTCATTTGTGACGTTGTTTACCGCTCTAAACAGAATGTCATTAAATTATCACCTCGAAATTTAAACTACTACGCTCAATCTGGGATTTATATGTTCGTAACAAAGTTTTTTTTGTAGGCAGGCGCCTTAATTAAATGGCTACACATATAATATTGAAGATAGCAAACTACAAATAAAGTTTTTAATCGATATAATGTTTTACAAAGGAATATTTAAAATAAGATAAGTTTAATTATCGCAAAATAAAAAATACCGTACAACAAGGAAGACCGATTTGTTTGCAGCCGAAGATGGCGAGGAGTTGTCGCGCATCCACAAAGTTCGTGTGATCAGAAACGAGAAAAGAGAGGGCCTAATGAGATCGCGCGTTCGCGGCGCGGATGCGGCTACCGCGAGTGTGCTAACGTTTCTAGATTCACACTGCGAGTGCAACGCCGATTGGATCGAACCACTTTTGGAAAGGGTGGCCGAGGACCCGACGAGAGTGGTGTGTCCCGTGATCGACGTAATTAGCATGGATACATTTCAATATATCGGTGAGTGCCAGCGGCAGAAATCGATGTTCTTTAAAATTGCTTATATTTTTAATAAAAGTCGTGTATATTCTATATTGTAAATAATTGAAAATATAGAAGCAACGTTATCTCATTTCTAGGAGCTTCCGCCGATCTCAGGGGTGGTTTCGACTGGAGTTTGGTCTTTAAATGGGAATATCTCAGCCAGGTGGAACGACAATCGAGACAAAAGGATCCGACACAAGCCATTAGGACCCCTATGATTGCTGGTGGACTGTTTGTCATCAACAAAGCTTACTTCGAGAAACTCGGCAAATACGATACTCAAATGGATGTTTGGGGCGGAGAAAATCTCGGTAAGACTATTTACAGTTTCATGTACAAAGTGCAAAATGTTGAGGAAATTCAAAGGACTAAACGCGTACTTTTTATAATAAAATTCTTTCGATTGTGTGTGCGCTGCATCTCCACACGGAATATGTAAAAGTGTTTTATTTCGAATATTTTTACAACGGCACTGTTTATATTCGTATCCATTCTCTGAAGATAACGTCGAGGGTTATTTTATTTTAACAAAATTGTAAATACGCTACGAAAGATATTGCACGTGGTCGATGTACTTCGCTACAAAAACTTTGTTGCGAGGCACGCGCAACTCACGATGAGTATTTTGCAGCGGAGAGTAAACTTTTTATTGGATCAATATAGTTGAAAGTTATAATTTCTCAACAAGTTTTAATGAGAGCTTCCTATTAAATTTTATTAAAAAGCATCATACTGGCGTAAATATTAGCTCATTCATCACTATATCCGACGGCCGCGTAAATAAATGCTTGAAAACAACTCGGTTCGAAAATTTGTAGATAATTGCGACTGCTTATATAACTTCCTCTCGTTACGCGCGTGATAAAAATTTTTTATTTAATTTTATTCGTAAAAAAAAACTCCATCGGGAGATGAATTGAACTTCAATTAGGCAAGGTTTACGCTGAAATATGTTTAATTAAAAACGTAATATAAAATTAATCTTGCAGCACTCTTGGTTTAAAGTTTTGAGAAAAGTGCCGTGTCTGTCATTACACTTTTCAAATACGAAGGAAACGAACTCTTTGACAGAAACTACCATCTTGTGTGCAGTTCGTAAGAACTTTGCGGAAAACACGGCAAGCAAACCAATATATGTCGGAAGTGTGAAGTTAGAAATAACTGCGGGCTCCCTTCCTCCACAACCCATTTCGACCAGAAGAGAAATTGTTGAGTTTCTTTGGAAAAGTCTAACGCTATTTCAGTTTAGCATAACTTTGATGAGAGATTTGCATTAAAATAACATTTTTCCAATAGCTAGCGAAACTTTGCAAATATGTATATAACTTAAAATATAAGTCCCGTTCTTTTGTACACGTATTATTGACAGGTATTCTTTTTCTTAATTTGCAACATGAAGAAGATAAACAATAATCCCGAGGAAATAAAGAGTAATATGACACAATGTGATGGGGAGGAAGGTCCATGCATTTCCTAGACCCTCGGCACCTCTTTTCTCACGTTTAACATTTGCACTTACTGCATGTAACTTGTAACTTTCTTTCAGAAATATCGTTTCGCGTGTGGCAATGCGGTGGCAGCTTGGAGATTATCCCGTGCTCACGTGTGGGCCATGTATTTCGTAAACGTCATCCTTACTCGTTCCCCGGTGGCAGCGGAAACGTGTTCGCCCGGAACACGAGGCGCGCCGCCGAAGTATGGATGGACGACTACAAGCAGTTCTACTACAATGCCGTGCCGTTGGCACGGAACATCCCTTATGGAAAGTAAGTCTGGATGCGCGCCGACGTCTCAATTAAACTTTGGGCAATACTCTGATTTCGCCGTATTTCATTGCATTGTTTAACATCACATTAAAGTTTGCGATCTATCGAACACATGTGTGTATAAAAGTTGTTTTCTTCGTGTCAAATTGCGGCTTCAGTATACTTTCACATTGTCCGGCATGTAAAAAGACAAATAGAACGTTCGACAGGATTTGGAGGATAGAAAATTTGATTGTACTAATATGTGCGAATTGTGTTTCAGCATTCAAGATAGGATGGAGCTGAAGCGGAGATTGCATTGCAAGCCTTTCAGTTGGTATCTGAAGAACGTATACCCCGAATTAGTTATACCTACGAGCGAGGGTGGCCCGGGAGGGTCCCTGAAGCAGGGCACCGCCTGCTTGGACAGCATGGGCCACCTTCTCGACGGGAACGTCGGTCTCTATCCCTGTCACGACACTGGTGGCAATCAGGTACGCGTCCCTCCGAGAGCAAATGCGAGGTCGCGTAATCGTTTCGGAATTTTACAAGATGACGCGTCTTTCAGGAATGGGGCCTCACGAAGGACGGTCTGATCAAGCATCACGATCTCTGCCTGACCCTACCGGTGTACGCCAAGGGCACGACGCTGCTGATGCAGATCTGCGACGGCAGCGAGAATCAAAAGTGGCGGCACTTGGAGGGTGGCCTGATACGGCACACCAGAATTCCCGTGTGCGTGGACTCGCGATATCACGCGCAGCGCGGCATCACGGCGGAGAAGTGCGACTCGAACGCGGAGACGCAGAGGTGGCATCTTTACAACCACAATCACTAGCTGATATGGTTGCGGTGAACACGCCATTCACCCGCAGACTCTCTCTTGTCACCACGCGCCATGACGTGATCACCGTGTAACGAGGCCGATCGCGTCAGAGGCGCGATTACTTAATTAGAAACTGGCTGTCTACGCGCAACCGGATCGATTCGATCACTTGTCGTGGATGGACCGTATCTTCGTGGCCGTACTCGTGGCTTTTTACGATACGGTATCGATGAAGGACTCCACCTTGTACCACACTGACTTGCAAGTTCGCGAGTTCCCGCCGTAGCCCGTCCTATAAAGGATCGGATGGTGATGTATTTGGATAGAAGAAATGAATTTTCTCTGATGATATCACGAAAAGTGGTACAAGTGTCTCACAAACTAAAACGGAATAACTCTCGCAAAAGAAAGTGAAAAGGGTTTTAAGACTGCTTTAGTGTTTGTGACTCTAATCAACAAACTTCAGTTTCTATGTCCACAAGAATTCCATCGCTTCCGATCGTTTTCTTAGGTACTAGAGCATCCTACTTTTGCAATGACAACAGATTAACCTAATAGGTTGACATCTCGCAATCGATGTGATAAGTGTAAAATTATTTATAATAACATAATACATAAAAAAATATGAAAGCGTGTGTATATGAACAGTAATGCAAGCGGAAGTTGCGTACTGATTCGGTACTGCAATCCGATTGTGCACGCTGATTATATTTCAAATGTCGAGTCCACAAATTATGATACTTCACACGTGATACAATTGATTTAAACAAGTAAAAATCACATTGTTGAACGCCATCCTTAACACATAATATTTAATACTTAATTACTACTTTTAGCGTCAAAGAAATCCATAAGACACGGGATTCTTTAATTTTCAAAGTTTATGATGTTATCAAAAATTGAGGTTGTGTACTAACATAAAAATAATTGGGATTGCATATGCGATGATATATCCATATACTTCATAATTGCCAGGCTTAGTTCTTTGAGCGAGATGTTTTATTTAAACAAAGAGAGCGACTAACTCTTCAATTCGTAATATTGTTTCAAAATTTATACATACGTAACAATTTATACGTAAACATAAACGTTTTTTCGAGACTCTCATTAATAAAATTTATGTATTATATAAAAATGTATGTAAGTTTGAACCGATAGTGGAAATTGAAGAGACAGATTGAAATCAAATGTATGCGGTAACAATGTTTTTAATGAAACAGCTAAGTAAACTTAATCATTGCTAAAAGATCGATGTAAAAATTAAAATCTAATTATTTTTCTTTTATGTGCAACCAGAAAATCAACAAAACGAAGAAATAAATTAAAAATCCGAGAATTAAAAATGTAATTATAGCAGTTAATTGACTTTCCGGTGCAGTCTAAGCTGACGATATACTTTTATTTACTATTGTTTTTTTTGTTAAATCTGTAAAAGAATATTTAAGATATTGAGTCATATTTTAGAACGGGTACGTACTTGAGTGTCCAGTCGCAATGGGCAACTCATCTCCTTTTACGTATTTATTTACATGCGATTTTCTTAAGTAAATCAGCCAAAGCTTTTACACTTGGCACTATTTGTTTTAAGTAAGATCGATAGTTTTATCACAAATACCATTTTAATATTACGCTTTTATGCAGACTACTGCGGAGAAGCTTCTCGCGATTTATCTGAGACGTACGCAGAATTAATTGTAATACAATTATATTATGTAATCACAATGTACATCACGTAATTTAAATATTCAACCTTCAATAACATACGTATAATTTCTATATCTTTTTAGGAAATTTGAAAGGCGCAATTGTATATTCTGAGATCCAAGAAGACGCAAGAAGCTTCTCAGCGACTGAAATCGCAATTTTGATCGGGCCCAAAATCACGTTAGATTCGTGCAGTGCACATTCTTTTTATCTGGTCTTATACGCGGCGCATCTAAATCTGCGGACATCCTTCTCTCCAATCAAACGAGTCGCGACGAACAATATGCTTTCCTTTCAAAAGCATGCGCTACGATTTACAGAAAAGAAATTTATTTTTCTAACTAATTGTATACTTACTTGGTTGTGCGAATAAACGAAAAGCGCAGGGTGTATGAGCATACTTAACATATTGTAGCTTGGTAATAACATTCCAACCGGTTGAATGTCTACTTTTTTAAAACAAGTATTAATTTTGGGGACCTTAACTTTTTTTCCCACGTTGAAATGTAACGCTTATTTTAATAGCGGTCGATATCAAGAAGTCCGATTTTCCCGGTGAAGACTAAATTATACGAATATGAGAATCCTTAAAAAGAATAAACCGAGTCGATAAAAGAACGGAGTGGCACGATGTGAATCCATTACTCGCCTACAACGTGTTAAGTGAAAATCAAGATAGAAGCTGACGCAGCTAATCATAGCAATACATATTAGCAGACACGATCTTTTGTACACTTATACTTTCCGATGATAATATCTTACTGCCGTCTCTTCGCGCTGGGGACTATAAATACCGCGAAGTGAAATGAAAATAATAATATACGTATAAACTTTTGTATATGATACACACGGGCATCCATGTTACACTCACATTAGCTGCTGTAGTAATCATTCGTTAAGTAATTCTTTTGATATCGATATTGTACACGTAGAACGATAACATTTTAATGTAGATATAATGCGCGACCGCTGGAGTCGGCTGTGCTCTGATTAAACGAACGCGAGGTTACGAATAATTGCTCGAATTGCGTCTGAAAATCAAAATCGAGTCGAGAAAATCTTTAAGTTTTATTATCATCGTGAGGGGAGCGTCTTCCTTTTAATCAGAGCACTGGCTGGCACAGCGATATATATACGTAGATAGTAAATATGTACGGGGTATCCCTACGCGTATCATTATCGCGTTTCCTTTCGACTGCAAGATTCTTTGAAGGATTCCGACTGAGTCAACTTTCCTTTAGCGCGAGATTGAAAAGGAGGTATAATTACGGAGTTAGTTAACATTGGAATTAAAGGATTTTGCCGTACCAAGCTTCAGCAGCGTACGTAGCAACTTTGTTCCCGGGTAATTTAGACGGACTTCGCCCAGCGAAGAAATAATTTCAAGCTTAATTAACGAAAACTTTTAAACATCAAATGCCTCGGCGAGTAAATCTGACAATTTGGGGAGATTAAGGCTCTTCTGGCATTAACTGATAAACAAAATTGCACTTGCAAACTTGCAACTGTTGATGCGGCATCGTTTTTTTTTTAAGAAACAAATTTAATTCAAATGGTTGACAAAATTGAAATGAAATAACTCGCGGGAAAATAACGCGACATCAAATCTGTTTAAACCTACGCAAAAATGCAGACTCTCTCAATACTGAACTTACGTTTCAGGCAATCGCTGTTGTAAATAATTATGTACATTTCATTGATTATCTTCCTCCCGTCCTAACTCTTCCGAGTAGCTTCTTTCGCTATCAGCGTGAATACTTAAACATCGCTTCCATGCTTTCCCGTGAAAAAAAAGGGATTGCCACATAACACAATCGTACTTCGTGTATCTGTAAATAAATATATATTCACGGCGTATATATATATATATATATATATATATATATACATAATATGTATAACAGACGTCGCGTACTTCCAAGATCGGTAAAAATGTAAGATACTAAGCGACTCTCGACTCTTAATCTTAAGTTATATAGCGGGTAACCAATCAATGTTAATATTCATGTGTCCATTAATACGAAAATTTATACTCGAGAAGCGAAATTGTGGTGTGGATAGAATAAGCGCGCTGTACATTGAACGAGCATTTACATCCTTGTCATATACAAATACGATGCGTTAACGCGATATTTTGTCTGATAAGAGCAATTTTGGATAACGAGGAGTGATCCCAGCGTCAGTTCGGCATCCGCTACTTTCAAATTACAATAATTTTGCCGCAAGATTTGAAATGGCGTTGGCGTCGAATCGCGCAAGGTGCATATTGAAGATGTTATATACTTGGAACAAAATATCCTGATCAAAACTAAGCAGAACTGAAAGTAGAAACTAAAGGCAGGAGAGAGATGTGATTAATAATTTTCCGAAACATCCTTTTCAAATCCCGTTTCGTGTTTTACAATGTCCGGAATGTTCTGTAAAAGATTTAGCGAGGGGAAACATTGAGAAATGCGTACTCTAGGTATATTTGTCTTCAAAATGTTAATCTGAAATTTCCTGTGCTCTATATTTTGCAAATGTAAAAATAATTATATATATATATGTTAAGAATGCGATAACACAGTAATTACATAAAAATGAGTTTTTCTAATAAAATAACGGAGTATCTCCGTAAATTTATATTTGTGTAACAAAACTTAACATTTTACATTGCTTTTTACACATTGTTGATATTTTAAAAATGTCCGTATACACTATGCTGTTTTACGTTTTTTCAATCCCTGCCGAACTTTCAGTTTTATTTTAGCAATGTCTAGGTCAGCCTTCGCAGTTTCACTTTCCACAGGTTTCTCTTCAGGTGGTACAAACGCCTGCGCTCTGCGCTCCTGCCTCTTCTTGGTCGCCTCCTCGTGTTTCGCTTCCTGTTCCTTTTTCCTCTTCGCCCTCTTCTGATCCTCCTTCAGGAAGTACTCGCCGGACGCAATCGCCTTGTCAAGCTTGCTTTCTTGTTGAGGCGGCGGGAACGGAGTGTACGGCTTCTTCTCCTTCTTCTTCCTCGGTTGCTTACGCTTACTGATGTTCTTGCTGTTGTACTTGGGCAAATACCGTTCCCAGTTCTCATTTTTTAGCTTGAGATTCTTGGCGAGCTCCCGCTTGAGCATCAATGTCTTGAGGCTGTAAACGGGATGGATATTTTTCATGGTATCCTCCACCAATTTCCTCACCTGCTGCACACCCTTGTGAGGACCCAACGCCGAAACGGTTTGACCCTGGACCACGACGTAGCAGTTCGTGAGCAGCTCGATGGACTTCAAATTACATCCGTTCGGTCCAATGAGCCGCTGTCTCCGCTTGACGAACTTATCCTTGTTTCTGACAAGAGAGGATATCTTGATGACATCCGCGGTAATGTCGTCCTGGAGAACTTTGGCTGCTTGCTCGAAGGGAACCGAACGAGCCATGAGCTTGATCATGTCGCGTGCCTTGATGACGATGTACGGGTCCCAGGTCTTCCTGGTGGTCTTCACAGTCATGCTCCCCTCGATGAGATCCATCTCGGCCTTGATGTGGTGATCGGCCAGAGCTTTCTGAATTAGCGGCCAATGCTCCTTCAAGTACTGCTCGCGATACTTGGGAAACATCGTCGCGAACGAGCTCTCCTCGAGCAGGCGATGCGGATTGTCCTCTTCTTTGAAATCTGGTATCTTCAACGACCACGCATTGTCGACCGGCCCGGTCTTCTGCGCTTTCGTACTTTTTTTCGAACGAACCATTCTCATGCGATTTGAAGCGATAGCGACAATCAACGCAACGTAAACGCGAATGCGTGCGTAAATGAATGGAGGTTATGTTCCGAACTTTCGATCAATTCAAACTTCCGGAAACGAGAAGACAATCAGCGCCATCGTCATCTCAATTCGGAACTGATGACAACCACAGTCCATATACAGAGTGACAGATATCTCTTTAAACTACACTCATATCTACAATCGGTCAAGAGTTACCATCTATTTTTGTCCTATTCTATTGTCCATCTATTGTCAAAGTAGATGCAACCAGAGAGAAGCATGAGAACTGTCAAAGAAAAGCCTGATGCCCGTTCTACACTTAGGGAATAAATAAATGGACAAAGATCGTCGTATTGAGACCGTTTATGGATTTGGGTGCCATTTCTACATAAAAAGACGATTAAAAATCGTAGTGAAATCATACAAAAAAACTTAGTATGATCAGAGAGAAGCCTAAGAGCGGTCAAGCCGCTTGAGAGCATCAATTTTACTTGATACCGTTTCAGGAGACTGTTTGGCGCGCCCTTACGCCCATTATTACTTTTGGAACTATTTCATTACGCATTTTCTGACTCTGCCGATAAAATTTCCACTTAAGAGTTCCACTTAAGAGCATACATACTCAACGTAGATAGCTGCGGCATGCGAAACGAAGAAGATTGGTTTTTGGTTCATGTCGCTACGTCGATTTTTCGCAGAGTTATAGCGTTTTAAAAATCGGGCGCGCGCGCACCCATTCATGAAAGAAGGCCGCGTGGGTTTTACGCAAGTAATACGCTAGCGTACTACGTCCCCAAAAAACTGGCATATAAACATACGAGGCACAGGTGTTCGATAGTAAACACCGCCGCGCCAGACACCGCGCGAGACGCCGCGTATACGCGGCGTCTGCTGCTGCTGTCTCGGGGGATTAAGATCACGAGTCGATATAATCGTCAATAACTGCGCACAGAAAAATCGTAGGAAGATGATCCTGGTCTCGTTGGAAAGCTAAGATTTCAGCGCTTCTAACGAGATAAGAATCGCTTATCTCGGATTATTAGTTTATGAAATATCATCGATTAATTTTGAAAATAAAATTGATTTTGTCCCGAGATCGAGATCACGAGTCAATGTAATTGTCTATAACTCCGCACAGAAAAATCGTAGCAAGATGAGCTTGGTCTCATTGGAAAGCTAAGATTTCAGCGCTTCTAACGATATAAGAATGGCTTATTTCGGATCATTAGTTTATGAGGCATTATTGATAAATTTCGAGAAAATTGATTTTGTCCCAAGATCGAGATTGCGAATTAATCTTTCGATTGGATGAATCTCTCTCACGTCGTGCATTAAGTAGCAAACCTAATTTATGTTTACTCAATATTTATTTTTCTAAATATGTATACACATATGTAATTGTACGGTTTTTTTGTTGATAATCCCCTCCTCGGGTACTACCTTGTCAAGGTGGAGGGGCTTAAGTACCCCGAAGAGTTACTCTCTAAAAATCAATCGGTGCATTATCACAGAATCAGTGAATATTTACTGTTTTCAGTGATAATCCATTGATTGATTTTAGTGAGTATATGTATACTCTAAAGACGGGACAACCAAAGATACCCATTGCACTATTTAGGTCCGATTTTTCATTTTCCAAGAAATTGTTGACCACAGTTTAATCGATTCTCTGTCTTTTCTTAGATAATAATATAGAAAAGGATAGAGAGTCGAGTAACTTCCATATTAACAGTTAACCAGAAAATGATAAACTAGGCTTAACACTCCCTGAAAGTTAATCGGTGGATTATTACTGATTTTGTCCCGAGATCGAGATTGTGGTGGAGGGCCTCTACAAGTTGGTCTGTTGTTATCTGATAAAAATTTAATTCAAATCTAAAAGAGAGGCATTATTTAAATTATAACCAGAAAATGCGAAGTCATAATAAAACATAAAGAAAATTAAGCTTATTGAGAACAATCTACTACAAATTTTGTTGGCAAAAGGAGTACAACGTAGCTTGTCAGCAAAGTTTTATATTTTGCAATTAGACATATAATTTATATGTCAGCAACGAAAAAATGTGAATCGCCAGTAGTTGATTAACGATAAAAAGAATTGTTAGATGACTTTAGGCTGGCAGAGCCTAGCTGGGCCTAGACATTTCATGCATACAGCACGGAACACAACCAAAATTAGGCACTGCATTACCCGCTTGAAAAATGGGCGTAGCACGGACACGCACCAAGTGGAGACTTTATCGGCAGTGCTTGAAAAGGCAGGGTTTATGTTTCCTTTACTTATGCTTTCCTCCATGCCTGGTCTCCAGTCTTCTTGGCTGGGGATACAGAATTGACCTCCTGTTCGCGTCGTATGCACCAGCGACCAATACTGTCATTTTATGTACAATTTAAGGTATTGATCGTGGGGCAAGCAGGAGCAATTTGTACTATTTGTACTATTTTGTACAAACAAAAACAATTTTCCTAGAGCCAATTAAGAAAATATACAGCATAGCAAACTTAATCTACCTTCAGCAGAATATAATTTTTTAAAGAAATAAACAAAATGAGGAGAACAAATTTTAATTAATATTTTTCAAGCGAAAAAATGAGTAACAAAGTCTTATACCGTCGTTATTGCACTTCCATTTACGTGTACATAATGTTCCGCTAATTTAGTCTTCCTTTAGCGGAACATTATTTTTCAGAGGAACTCGCAGAATGAGCAGAGTCAATTGGTAATAAAATATTAGGTCCATAGAATATATGGAATTAAAAAGTATAATAAATTTTTTCCGCGCATTGAAGTCACCAGAAGATATATCGGAACAGCAAGGATTATCTATGACCCAGTTTATTATACAATTACAATATCCTTTACTAATCATACTGTGATAAATAATAATTGTAATAATCGTAGTATATCTAGGTAACACGAACTATTTATGATTGATATGATTTTATTTATACACCATTCAACATTCTCACTTTCTTTCTCTCCCTCTCATACGCTCTATCGTTCACTCTGTGTCTGTCTCTCCCTTTCAGTTCCACAAAAATTGCCCTGTCATCAAAAGATGAGAGGCGACAGCTGCAGACACGCATTAGCAGGAAATTTGTCTAATTATTACAGTCCGCCGACGGAAAAGTTCGCGAATCGCGAGATACCGTCGTTCATGATCGCTCGATAATTCTTAGTACAAAATAGTTAAACGATTTATCGTTCTCGTTTGAACGGGGTTTCCGATCGTCGCGACGTTTTAAGAACTGTCATACCGTGCTCTTCGCGTATTACCCTTACACGATTATGTTATGCGCCTCGTGATAACGTATTACACATCGAACGTTAATAAAACCTATGGTAATCCTATAATTTTCCACGAAGACGAAATCGGGCACTTTAAGTTAAGACGCGAAATGCCAAAGATTGAGAGAATGCACTATTTTTTTGTAACTCCTCTTTATAAGCAGCAAAAGTATCTTCGATCAGAGTATAAATATGTTAGTATTGTATCCTAAATATTCCAGGTATCAAGCTGACGTGACGTCAAAATGACGACAAATAAAGTTAACTTGTTACCTGAGTTTTTACGCACAACATAAAGGCTGATTCTATAATTATTCAAGAAAGATTAAGTGTACTTTTTATAATATTTCTTTCAAAATTAAAACTTTAGCTCAGCCTTCCGAAATTTGGCATTCAGTACTGTCGTAATTTGAAGTGTCCGATTGCGCATCTTGCGTCGAAAGTATAAATTCTTCTACGAGTAGTCGACTATTTGGTATACCCGGAGCATTTGTAGCTTCGTTTTCTCCTAATTACTGAACATCTAGAATCACCTTAAGCCGATTTTGACACAGACGGAAATAAAAGACACGAGATCGTGTAATCTTTGTTTCAATTTAACGTGTACTTTGTGAAAAATTAGTCCAGAGTTAATTTAGAAATTTAAATTAGGTTGCTTGAACAATTCACAAACTGACGCGAATAAATTTTACTCATTTTTACATTTGTAAGTTTATTTGTTGCTGACATTGCCGCAAATGTTTGAATGTTAATTTAGAATTAAAAATTACTTCACGTCACACTTAATTTCGGTATTTTGAATTCTGCTTCTTATCCCGTCTGATCGTAAATCGGCTCTAACGCACGTATATATGGCGAATCGAGTATTATTCATTCACTACTAAATTGTATATACAGTTATAATATATACACACACAGATGAAAATGACAGGACGGTAGGAGAAAAATACATTTCTCTAACGCGACATCACGATTGTGACAATAGAAAAAAGGAATAATTCTCAAAACTGGGATATAGAATTTGCCACCAAAAAGTGATCTATAATATTTTTCAATGCTTTCTTTTACGCAAGTACGAAACTAAAAGTAAAAACGTAACTTGAAAGGAACGAAGGAACGAGGAATTGTAGAAAACCAAACAAAAAGAAAATACCGCTGTAACTGAAAGCTCTCTAGCATTTTTATTCTCAAATAATAAAAGTTAAAATATAATGAAATAATAACTAATAATAATTATTGGATATAACTAATACAATAAAGTGTCTATTCATTTGCGCATTATGCCTATCAAACGCATTACAACATATCGAACGAGTAATCAGCCGACGATGATGCCGTAGCGAGGAGGGGGAGTGAATGGGGATCGTATCTCTATGTCATTATCGTATTGTATGTATTAATTGTCTATAAACTGCTGACGAACGAAAATCGAAAACCTTCTCCCCAACTTTATAACTCCCTTTGCTCAACGGCCCCCTCTTTCCGCTTTTCTTCCGAGCTATCGTATTCTCTACCTCCCTGTCCTCTTTTCACTCATCGTCGTCCGCGCACCTGCCAACGAATGTGCGGCCTTAGGAACTCTTTTTTTTTTATTCGCGTTTCTTCGTTTATCTTAGTATAATTTGCCCCTCTGTTCGTGCACGTGTTTTTTTTTTCGACAGCGTGTTTTTGCTACAGCTTGGTCCACGACTCTGGAGTTCAGGTTTTAAGAATAGAAATGAGATGAATTATGAAATGAAACGAGAAGGGAGGCTGTTGCTTGTACGTCATCTAACAGTTCGACTTAACCCAACTCAATATTGTAAGGGAATTTTCTAACGTGTTTATGTTAGCCTTTCGTGTGATCGGGTTTATCAAAAAACCAATTTCAAAGGAAACTGTGCAATTAAAGTTTGCCACACTTATAAAAATACCGTCGTTTCGTATTTCGAATTATTTTGTAGCGCAACGTAACAAATACGGTGGCACCGCGCAAATTACCGAATCATGTAATGACAGTGTATGTACAGATACACGCTTCCCTCGTGTAATCACATACAATTATAGAAAAGTAAAACGCTGTCAGATACATAAAAAGTCGCATGGTAATTTACACGACAAGCGACATTAACAACAGTAGTACGTATTGTGACTACATAGTGATCGCAATAATACGATAATAATGATGACATGATGATAATGATGATGATAATAGTACACGTTGCTAGTTCTTAATTAATCCACGATCTCCTGTTAGATTCTACTATATACAACGTTCGTTTATACATTTATGTATATGTATATGTATATGCATATGTATACGCAAATGCACGTAAAGATTTTGTATATACTATGATGCACAGTCGTTAACTTATGTAATATTACAATAAAATCACGGTGTGTATATATATATATATTTATATGTATACACATTTTTACGCAAGGTCTTCACGTGGATAATGGAATCTATACACACGCATGGGTTTTAGGAATAAGTAATGTGGTATATCACGTTTCCTGGCCTATAATCTAAAATCATAGCCCTTAAATTAATCATCGAGAGTGTTCGCGGGAAACGGATCGGCCGTAGCGAGCGCAAATCGAGAGTCACAGCGGAGTGCGAAGAGTTCTATCTAACGTACCGAAAGAGAGTATGTACAACAAAATATATATATTAATATATATATATATTGAAATATATTAATGCACTCGCGTTAAAAAAATACGTGACGTATCCTGCTGTGTACCTTCACGAAAATAATGTAACGTAAAGCGTCCGAATCTCTCCACTGCATTTATCTCGATGTACGAGTGTACGCACGCTTATATATCTATAACTCTCCATTTAGTATGCAATCATATTTACATTACGTATTACCTAGGTACCGCTTATCTACAGTATTATTAACTACTGCTAATTAACCACTCATGACTGTCGAAAATCTTCTCATCAAGAATGCGCGTACAACATTGCTACACGCGCGAGAGATCGGTACCACGCGCGAACATCTTGCGTCGCATCCTCGGTAACATTCGATGGCCTTAAATCGTATAATATATACAGCCCTGTGACACAGATATGTACGATACGATGACAGACACGCCTACGTATAAATATATATATATATATATATATATATATATGTGTATGTACAATTGTATTGTCGGGTCTCGCTATTTTATCATTGAAACGCCACAACTCTGTTTGTCGCGGGAAAGCAACGGCGGCATCGAGTAAAGTCATCTTCAAAAAGTATTAATAATAAAGAAAACGAGTAAAGTCCTTTTTCTGATTTATTGCGACCTGAATTGTTTAAACATCTATAGATAGTCCACAAATAGATTTAACGTCGCCAGTAATATAAACAATGATATGTAGTTTTTAAAAAAACGACCTACACTGGTCAATGTTTGTATTTAAAAAACAAACGACATTCTCTTTCGTCTTATTTATTTCAATACCCGACAGTTCAATCTGATCTCTCTCGTCCAACACATGTCGCATGACAACTATATTTGTCACTCGCCAGTTCGATCCGACATCTCGTCTACCACACATCTCTCGATATTTTTATTCGTGTCGTACAATTAACAATGCAACTTCAATTGACTCTGCACTCTTCAACCAAGGAGTGCAATCATTTTTTGACCAATATGTAAGTGTATTTATTTATTTATTTCATATTTATTCCTATTTATTCTTATGTATCTTAATTCACTCTTGACATTTATTAATTCGTAACAACGTAAAGTGTAATGACTCTCTTGCTTGTACACAGCTTATTAACATAACGATATTGGCCAAACGAACGATATGAGATCAATAACAATTGTGTGAAAAGGTATAGATTTGCAATTTACTTTCACTGTAATTATTTACGTTATATTTTTAAAGAAATATTTAATGTTATGTACGTGTGCAGATTAATTGAAGAGTCCAAATCCGGGACCGAAACGTCGTTTGTTTTTTAAATAAAAACATTAGCCAATGTAGGTCGTTTTTGAAAAACTACATATCATCTATAGATAGCTTTTATTAGAGTTATAGTAATCGATAACTCCTTCGTCGTAATGCTGCAATCAAATTGATTAAAACTTTCAAATATAATGAATAAGGATTTTCTGGTGAATGACTAATCTTTGCAAATTAGGCAGCCGATAATTAAAAGTCGTTGATTATCACTTTTTGAAGCATAATTGAAATATATCGCAAATAATCCTGTAAATGTAATTGTATAAAATATTCTGTATTTATAAGAAAGGATACGCATATAAATACGTGAAGAATATAGTTTGACGTATTTTTATGAACACCGATTATTGCAATTAAAAATCATCAAAGTTTTCCTATTATTGACAATATGTATATGATCTACAAGCATTGAAGTCGGATACAAATAAATTCAATTTTTGTTCATCATTGAGTAGTTTTCAAATAAGAAAGAGAAACGATATATTTCAACGTGTTTCATTTTATACGCTTTCTGAATCATAGAAAATTACAAAGAATTAAATCTATTTCGTTAAAAAAAATTATCCTAACAATAATAATCTCTCACAATTGTTTCATGTACTGATAAAAAAGGTCCTACAACAAATTTGTGCGCGGTTGGATATATTAATTTACATTACGACAAATTAAAAGTTATATATTATTTATTTCAGTGCATGAACATAATAAACACATACGCATTCGAATAATGAATTGTGCATCGTATGGCATATTAAAAGTATGCAATAACTTATGCGGAACAGTTTGTAGGTTTCAACCGTTTATGTTTACATCTTTATATCAATTTTTATACAACAGTCTTCAATGTGCACTAGCGCACACTAATGGATTCAACCGAATTAGTTATTAGTTGTCCGTATACTTAAAAGTGCACATTAATATTCATAGTTAGAAATACGCAGCGTGTCTTCGTATACCCTTTAAATGTATATAACAACTGCGGATGATTTAATGATCAACACGGATTTAGATTTGTCCCATTCATAATATACAATTTCATCTACACTCTCTCGTTCAATCACTCTTCAATTAGTTATCTATAAAATTGATTACTTTTGGATTTTCTTTGTGATTTCTTTATGAGTTCCTCATTTCTTATGCGTTACTATCAAATTTCATTTGATACCGTCATCAAAGATGCTGGTTGTTAGATACCGCGTTAACTTATTTATTCTTGATTTTCTTTTCACAGTCAAAACATTAAAATATTAACTGGAATTGAAGGGGAAGTCAAGAATGGATAAATTAACTCAACGCAGATAAATAAAGAATATGAAGGTTCATTTATGGATCATCGAGATCCAATACTCTGAACGTTACCTCGATTGATAGCGTCAAGAAATCATATCATCAGCTAATGATAGAATTCCGGTAGATTGCACAAGCGTCGTGCTTGTTGCTGATGATGGTGCTGCTGTTGTTGGTGCGATTGCTGATGATGTTGATGATAGAGAGTGTCCCCTTGATGGGTCACTTGCTGGTGTCACTCGTGGGACTTGTTGTTCAAAGGATGATAATTGCCGCCTGACGAAGTTACTAAAGCGAGAGGTATAGGTGCTGCATGAGGATGCGAGTGGCCCGCGTTGGAAGAATGTGTCGTGAGTGCTAGAGGACTGCCAGAAATGGAATTAGCGAGGGATGCGAACACCGAAGGTGCAGACGACGTCATCGTTGGGCTGCCTATCGCAGCCGTTGGCGGATTGATCCTCTTTTCTTTCTGCCGCCTGAAACATGATTGTATGTTGCTTGAAGAGATTCAAAATTAATACAAAATGCGCAATTCTATTCGTCGTAATCAAGAAAAAAGGAAAAACGTACATAAATATTTTCGTAATTATATTGATCTTAACAATTGTAACATCTACCTGTTACAAAACCACACACGAACTACTTCTTTCTCCATCGAGAGGCTGTCTGCCAGTATAGTTATCTCCTCGGACGTGGGCTTTGGGTTTTGGATAAAAGCTTTTTCAAGGGCTACTCTCACGCTGGTCTCTATTGACGTTCTCTTCTTCCGCCGCCTGCCAATCGCTTCCGGTGTCGTAAGTGGATTCGATAGAGAGTTAGGATTGTTCATTGAATTATCGGCATCCTCCAGCCACTTTTGTAACAGTGGTTTCAGTTTGCACATGTTTTTGAAGGAAAGATTCAGTGCCTCGAACCTGCAATGCAGAATCATCGAATTTGTTTGACTTAAGGTCAGTGGGTGTTATTTGATTGCATTAAAAATGACATAAATCAACTGTTTTTGTTTTATATCACATTTTTTTTATAAAAAGAAGAATTTTTGTATAAGAAGAATAAGTCAAGCAATGTATACTATCAAAAATCTAAAAATGTAAATAAAAACTTAGTAATCTCAAGATATCTTTTAAATTTTTAGATTTCTATGACATTTTTTTTACTTATCATTTTCATAACGTTGGCGCCGTTTAAGAATTACGTTTATTTAATCACAGTTTAAACAAAGAATGTATTTTTACCTAGAAATCGTAGTTTGTGAAAAATCGTTGCCATAAAGTTTGCCCATGGCGAGTCCGACGTCTCCTTGAGTAAAACCAAGCTTGATCCGTCTTTGTTTGAACGTTTTGGCGAATTGTTCTAGCTCTTCGAGGTCCGTTGTTTCCTCCGGCGAAGGTTCTAATCTTGTCGGTTTTACTGCCGGTGGTGTGCTAGGTGGTGGTGATGATCTCTGCGCCAAACTTCGCCCCACTAAATTACCGCTACTCTGAAGAGCCTGCTGTTTCTGTAGTAACTGCGCTGCCGCTTGCACCTAATAATTTTAGTTTTTTTTATGAATTCTAAATTATTAAAAATACACACGTATGAGATGATGAATATAATTATATAAAATAATCACAATCGGCCGCAGTAATAAAGATCTTTAAACATGCAAATTAAAAGTTGTATCGAGACGTTTAGACGTGTTCCGGATGTAATATATCACTTTCAAAAGGGAATTTCCATCTCAATTATTACAAAACAATTTTCATGCTTTCATCCGCGAATAAATTTCGCAATCAACAATCTATCTGGATACAACTCTGTCCTAAATCGTACCTGCATGGACTGTGAGCGCGGATGACTCGGTCTTGTCGGGTAGCCACCGCTCTGCAACAGCCCCTGCAAGACGTCGACGACCATTGGTAAAAATCGACATAATGGTCATCTGCGCTTCATCTCTACTCGTGATAAAAATTCGCTTTCGCGACGTTTTTAAAATGTACTTTCAAAACGGAACTTTATAATCGATTTATCGTTCCTCGGTGAATCTAAATATAAAGTTTCCATAAACGAGTATTACGATTTAAAAAATATAATTATATACAGTCACCTGTAATTTTGCGCTCGTTAGTCTCTCGAAGATAAATGTCTGAATATATTTTTGGGGAACGCGCGGCACGTGTCGAGCTCGTGCGCGTACAGGTACGAAAAATATGATTCCAAGGGTTAAATCTGTCCGATCGATTATTTCCATCTATTCCTTAGGCGCGATGCTCGATTACGAGAATGAAGGGTTCGCGTCACGGGCACGGGTGTCCCGGATCGGAAAGGGTTCGGGGTTGGTCGCGTGTCGCTGGCATACGAGCAGCTAGTTTATACGCATTGTGGCCGCGAAGACACCCTACGGAAACGCCTCGAGTCGAGCCACGTGCGGGATCAACCGCGACAGGTTATCGTCTACAACTTAAAGACATTCAAGCAGGACTGATCTTTTCATGATTAAGAGACAGCACCGATTTCGAAAGATTTACAGAAACGCTAGATAACGCAAGTGTTTTCCTACTGGATAGTAACAACTGATAAAAGAGTCGGTGCATGCGTTGATTTTTATCTGACAAAACTTAATTGATAAATGCAAATGTACAAAAGTATTTTGTGATTTGTATGTGCGTGAATCTATACTGTACATTTTATTTTTCTGATTTCAACCTGCTCAAAAGATTCCGTTGAAACAACAAAAGCATTGTTATACTGTATCGAACCTCTCTGAAATGTTTCACAATTATTCAAAGAGCGAAAAGAATTGCTTCGAAATGATTAAGTCTCTGAATGGAGAAATAAACCTTTGTTGCGGCAGATAAGCCACAAAAGTCCTCACGTGGCGCACACGCGTGGCGCAACCGCCCGCGAAGGGGTTGAAAGGGGCAGGTTGTACTCGGCGAAGCGATTTCCCGAGTGAAGAAGGTCGTGTGCCTGTCTTAAAACGCCCCGCGCGAAAAGAGGAAAGAAGAACAGATGAGGACAATCCTCCTGTAGCTTAGAAGGAGAAGGAGCGCGATGAAAAGAGGAAACATCCTGGCCACGTGTGAGGTAACAAAAGGCACCCCGGGGCAAGGTGCCGAAGGACCCTAAGCCCACCTTGTAGCATCGCGCGGTACCTTCCGATAAAGACGGGGAATATCTAGTAGGGCCCTACGCGCAAATACGCGCGTGTACGTGTGCATGCACAATAAATATATAATACAGAGGCGAATACGGCTGCCCATTAAGCGTGCTAAAGCTCGAAGTCGTTTTGTTGATTTTTCCCGGAGACTATAGTTGCACGCGCACGTCGTGACGGATTCTATAGACTTTTTTTTTCCCGTAAATGCAAAGCCCGGTCCATTCAGATCGCTCGCGAGTAGGGCCGCACGGATGAGAAGGAGGGGGGGAGGGGGAGAGCGCATCCAGGAAGCGGGATCGTTTTTCAACGTATCCCCGGATATCGTGGATCGATTCCTCCACCTTCTGTTCGATCCGAAAGATCCGACGAACAAATAGTGAGAAAATCGTGGTACAGCTTCTTTCATCGCGGAAATACGTGCCGCGCGAGACGACTGATAAATATGTCGCTTCTTTTTCGGCGATCGTCAAGCGCGGGTTTTAAAACCGTGCCCGAAACGTGATATTTATCGAGGAAAATCGGGAAATCTCTTTGTACGCTTTTTCCGGGGATGTCTTCAATCATCGTCCGTTTTGTGTGCGTCTTTCGCGTCGCTATGCTATTACTGACTATAGCGCTATCAGATGTATTTTAAAATTCAGATATTCTCGGTGATATCTTTTTCACTTTTACGCAATCGATCTTACCGAGATTTGTTAACTAACATTTTTGCGATAAACTACGTTGCATTTTACTTCTTGCCGTCATCGAGACAATATAAGAATGGGACTAAATAATCAGGCACCGCAACTTCCATCAGAAAACACGCCGGGATTATTTCGACGGCTGGTCCTTTAAAGAGACTTTAATGCGACGTAATGGAGCGCGAAATTCAGTCGTGATGCAGTTGCAAGTTGGCGTTGTTCGCGTGCATTTGCATCGGCGAGGGCAAGCCTAAACGAGAAGGTAGCACCCCGATTCCCTTTGTGCCGTTGCCGGACGGCTATCTTGACGTCGAATCGCGAAGATGCTGTACGCGAAGAATAAGACGTTCGCTCTCGCCCGATCCGCGTCCTGATCAGATAGTACGGCCGAACGCTGCTTTGGCGATCCGCGCCGATCGGCTTCGATCCCTCCGACGGAATCGCAACGGTACGAAATATAACATGTGATTTAAACAGACAAACACAATTCGGCAGGTAGCGTCGATAGAACACGTGGAGATCGTAAATATTATTTTTAATTAACTCTCCGGTCTTAGCTCTTTCAATGAGACATTTGCGATTATTCATGCACTCACCTGATTTTGTAAGAAGAACGAAGGAATCTGTCCCGCCGCCGGAGTGGCCTGAAACATGGCGAATTGCTGTAGCTGCTGTTGCAGTGATTGCAGTTGATGTTGCTGCAGCGTCGAGGCGATCGCTTGGATATCCTGGGTCCCTAATGCACCGTGCATCAGCAATTGCTGGCCGAGCAATTGAGTCGCCAGCGCGGCCTGCGAGTTGCTATTATTTTGTTGGCCGGACGTGTGTTGCTGCTGGTGACTGCCCGTGAGCTGGCTGCTGATTCCGGAACTCGGCGAGGACGCGCTGCCGCTGGTACCGCTGCTGCTGTTGCGTTGCGAGACATCCGTGACCTGAAAAGTGCCGTCGAATTTACATTACGTTCGATTTTCGTGTTGATAAATCTAGCTTAAATTTAGTTCAAACAACAGAAGTTGTAATAATTGTGTATTCGGTATACAGTGCCGTAATCAAAATTGCATCACTTTTAGGTTTTCTGAGCATAACTTTCGCCGAAATGCATCGAACAAGCACAAAATTTTACAGTAGACACTTGATAACAGGGACATCCCGAGGGATAAATCGCTGAGCATTTTTGGGGTATTAGTTTGGACATTAGGCCTTGCTGGGGCATTATAAAGATAAAATAAGATGAAATAAGATAAAACAAGATAAAATAAAACAATAAGATAAAGTAATGCCCGCTGGGCATTAGTAGGCATTGGTGTACATGATTTTCACTCGTGCACTTAAAAACTAGTTATGCGCAAACAATCGAAAGGCGATACAATTTTGTCCGATACCGTATTTCAAGAATTATATTCCACTGTCCGAGAAGATGTCTTTCAATTATAGGAGTTCAATATCATGGGTCACTATGATCATTAAAGCGCTATGCCGAAAACTTTTAGCCCTCTAGCTAGACTGATTAGTTTATCGTTTGATATTATCAAGTGACAATCTTTGATTCCCCCAAATGCGGGCTACGACATTTCACGCTGTAACGTGGGACCGGGGACACGAAGAATCAGCCGGGCCGCGCGAGGAGGGCCACCCTCCCTAATATTACAGAGTAAATTCGCCGTCGAACAAAGCCGTGTTTACACTCGGCCAGGTCAGGATATTGGTCACTACGGTCCATCCTGCGCTTTTGTGTTTTATAAAACCTACTCTCCCTACGTCGTCCCTTCTTGTCGTCCATCTCGCTAGTGGCTTCCTTTATTTATTTGTCAAATATTGATCGCGAGCGCTTTTTACGCCCGTCAAGAGCGTCCTGTACGGAAAAAATCGAAGACACGGTCGTGCCGTGTTCGTGAACGTTCCTCTCGAAAGAAAGCACGCTGGATATTACGCTCGCAAATGGGATTGGTAACGTTGTTGATACATTTAAGCGACGCACACAGGCAACAGATAACAATGGATGACATGACAAAGCACGCTTTCGTCAAAATAAGTAGAGAAAATACCATTGAAGTTAAGTTATTGAAGAAAATCATCTTTTGTAAACGTTATTGACGAGTTAAATAACGAAGACACATTTAATTATTAATAAAAACAGCTTAAACAAAATACAAGACTGATTAATCGAAAAAGATCTTAAAAACGTTACATGCACTTTCTCCAAAAATAAATATGGGTAAATAAAAGAATTATTTTATTAATTATTTGATTTTTATGAATACAAAAGGACCTTTTCATTCATAGGAAAAATATTTGATATAATTTACATAATTTAAATAATTATCTCTACACACGAGTTAATTTGTTAAGATAAAACTATTCTTTTGACATTCGTCCATAAAAATATTACATCTGATAACATTTGTAATGTTTTCTTGTCAGATTAGATAAACGAGCAGAAGAAGCAATAATACGTTGTTTCTATATTTTTCAATGGCGGCAATAAAAATCTATTGGTGAGACAGTAAAAATGTTTGTCTTTCGTTATTAATTTTGAGAACATGTATTATATCGTCGATGTTAATAGATTCGTTGACACACGAAGACCAAGAAGAGCAACTAATTTCGCGCGTGTTATACAAGCATCTGCAGCTTCGTGCACGCAAGATGCCGTGCAAATTATTTGAATTATACTCGTATATTTTGCTCGCGGCACTAATTGTAAAGGCCGCGCCTCTTTTCAGCACTCTCCATGCCTTACCCGATAATTATTAACGCGTGATGATACATGACAAAGATTTAATATCTTTTTGTCTTGTAATTATAAATGTTTTCAAGTATCGAATAATATCTGTTTCACGTAATTTATATAAAATTAAATAAAATTACATAAATTAAATTAAATTAAACACAGATAGAAAAAATTTTCATAAAAGATAGCGAAGTGACTTAATTTCAACAACTATAATCGCGAATACAGATGAAAGGAAATGAAAATTTATTTACCAGATTAAGAGCTTCCCTGTCCGAGTCCATGGAGTCATTATCAAGATGTGCTTCGGTGGCATCTTGGATGTCACTTGCAATACTCCTGTCATCTCCGCTAAGTTCAGGACCATCAACGTCGCCGTGCAAATCTGCGTCTGCAACAAAAATCTCCATTTAAGTGTTCGATTCAAGTTCTTTATGTTTGACAAACCTTTAAAGACAAATCAATGACATTTTCACTTTCATTACGCACTCAAGACGTAACGTAACGTTGTAACATATGTAACGTGTTGCAAAACCCTCAGATATAAGCATAAAATTCATATTTTTAGACTTTGAATCAAGCTTATTATCAAGTTTGTCAGAAAAGAAAATTGCGACAGCTGCCGTACAATCGTTGTTGTTCTGCGCTCTATATTTCCGATGATGATGGTATCTCGTGGGAGTGCTGGACGGCGTGCTGGTGGCATGAAGACGCATGTCCGCGAAGATCATCCTGGATTCTTCCAGGAAGACCATCATAGCTTCGTCTGTTCCGTTCGTCGTCCCTACATTGGGACGCTTCCCGAGGTCCAGCACGGTGATCGATTTCTCACGCGAAAGTGAAAAGGATCGCGCACGGCGATCCTGCGGCGACCTATCGATCGGCGCGATCCCATCGCGCTACGGAAGACATGGGACGGAAAAAGCTGTGCACTCCGATCCGAAGAAAAACGCACCGACGTTTCACCTTTCTCCGCGCGGTATCACCCAGCGATCAAATGCGGAAATAGTTAAGTTTAAGCCGACGCGGTTTGAGTTTAATTATCGCTCGTTAACACCTCATTAATATTAATGCGGACCTTAATTGACCCCGCGAGTCTCGTCGAAACAGTGGCGTCGAAGAGGCCGCGAGTTCGTCGAAGATCCCGCGCGAATCCTGAAAGCCACCGCGGCAGCGTCGGTCTTCGTCGACAAACTGATACGGAGCGAATGTCAGAGTGACGCAACGAAACCGTGCCCCTAAGGGCGCACCAACCTTCCCCACTACTACACATGGCCCTGCTGGGCCCCACGATTGGTCGGACGCATCAGTTACGTCAGGCCGATTGGTCGAAGAGAACCCTTTTGCCCTTTCGCCGTGCCCTCTCTCCCTACTTCGATAGCAACAACCCTTCGCGAGCATCCATCATCGTATCTTATGACTGCTGTCTCCCTCGCCACCCCTTTACCGAGAGCCTCCTTCGTCTCGCTCGCGCTGGGGTTGTCGGATAATGGCATGGAACCGATTCGTTGATTCGGAGAACACGCGCTTACGCACTGCGATTGGCTAGCCCGATTTTTAATAATTATTTCGATACGCCGATAGACTATTTTGAAAGGGGATTTATAGCACTCGACGTATGTCGCATTCGGGGCTGCTGTCGCAGGCTCCGCGTATCGGGACCGATCAACTTCTAAGAAACTAAGATTTCGTTTCATGCACACTTTCTGCACATGAACTGGTTGCAGAACAGTTTGTACAAGTTGTGTTAAATATGTTTTAAATATAGTTATAGTGCAAATATATTGGAAAGAAAATATTTTTATAGACATTGCCGAATTGGGGAGAAACAAGAAATGTTTTAGAAACATTTTTCAATTTATGCAATATTTAACAGATTATATAAACGCAGTTATATTCGTATAAAAAATTTATCCGTCATCTTGTTATGAAACATGGTAAAAATTATGTTTCCATTTGTACAATTTGTAAAATATACAATTATATTTGTATTGTGATAAATTAGATAAAGAAGGTTTATCAACGATACTTAACGTCCTCACCGCCGGTTCAACAATATTATCTACACATTTCTTACGTCGGATCTCTTAACTATCTCTCGCGTGTTTACGAGGTAAACGTAAAAACACGTAAACTGAAGCGAGCAATCAGCCGCGACTAAAGACAAGGGAAGAAGCTATTCCCTCGCATTCTTGTGGGAAAAGTCGAAAACCGCGGAAAGGCAATGTCGAGGGGGGACGAGGGTCAGCGATGCCAAAAAGTAGAAGTCGCTTAGCCATTTGGTACCGCTCCTCTCGTGCTTTCCCATCGACTCCCGATTCCGGGATAAAAGCCGAGGAGAGAAACCGAAAATGGAGATAAACGCTCGCGAGAGCGTTGTAAAAACGCTCTGCCGCGGGCGCAGGTGGGGGGACCGGAGCCTCCGCCGAGGTGCTACCGGGGCCGGGAACGATCGTTATAGGAACGTAGAGAAGGAATTCAAAATCCTGTGAATATACTGCGAGAGCGCGGCTCCGCTTCTCGGGGGCCCCGACCCGATTTTTGCTTCTCCATCTGCGTTACCTGACAGGAGGATTCCCCCGAAATCGTAAAAAAAAGGGAGGAAAAAAGACGCAACAGGTCAGGTAGAATACCTCCAGGAAACTAGCGCGCACGCACGGCATTGGTGCCGGATTCCCGAAAATTTCGCCTCGTTCGGCACGTTCTACCCCACCCGGGTGAATCCCGGGCCCTTCTTCCTCCGATCGCGCGTTACTCCCCGCGCTTCACCGTCCTTTCCAACGCGCAAGATGTTGCGGCAGGTACATACGGCGATTCACACACGGCTTTCCTTTTTTACCCACAAATTTGCATCGTCCCTCCCTTTTTTCGTCGAAAATTACGCTTTTTTTCCGTGAGAATCTACGGGCCCCTCTACGGGACTCTGCGCAAACGGGAAAAAGACGGCGCTGAGAGTGGGGAGATAGAAGAAGGGGTCCAAGATTTTTGGGGCGATTTCTGCCGGTTTTGATTTTACCCTTGCCCTCCTTTGTACGTTACGGTGAGCGACGCATTAAAGATGACGGTGCCCTATTATGTACCAGGTGCGACGTCTTTGATAACGGAGGCAGAGCGAGTGATTCGCGGATGAAACTACCCCGCCGATTGGCTTTACTTCTTTGTAACATACACGCGTGCAAAATCGCACACAAGCGCGCACGTACCCAGAGACAGAAGAAGATGAAAGGGGAGGTAAATGCGACAGGAAGCGACGGTTTTTCCCCATTTTTTTTCCAGCTAGTACACGAATAACTGACGCTCCGCTCTCGGCGAATCACGGGCGATAGTTTAAAAAACCAGCGAATAGATTTTGTTTAGGGTAGACACGTCGTTCGTATCCCAGAAAGAGAAAGACGAAGAGCGAGACGTGGATGTGAACGCTAACGGATTTTTAACGTACCTTCGTAAAGTTGCGCGCACCGTCAGTTGCACCAGGAAGAGATAGAGCTTCAGGTACCAAAGATACATTCCGTACAAAAGGATTTTGAAAATTACGGTAATTTCGAAAAGAGGTAGTGTATAGACGTTGAAGACAATGCTGTTCTCGGTATCAATTCTATCCTTTCCTATTTTTCCCGCAAATATCTTTGATGTCATTCTTCCCGTGAAGAAATAAAGTATAACGACTTCGCTATTAGTTCCAAACTACCAGCAAATTCACACCTGCGACCCTACAGTCGGATGAAAGGAGCGGCCGTTCGCCGCGCCGATCCACCCGCCGATCTAGAGCCGGCGTCGATTCGATATCGAGCTGCACGAAGGAATGTCGCTCATCTGGAAGATCGTTATCTCCCGATGGATCCTCGACATCTCTTTGTGCCGCATCTGCATACACACCGGCGCACGCATACTCGCGCGCTCATCACACGGCCGTCCATTGTGCCGTCGACGCAGTCACAATGCAGTCGCCCATGCAATTTCGAGCCATTCAAGTCCGTTTAGCGCTTTGCACGAGTGACATGGTAACCGTCTATCCATCACCCACGCACACTCGCACGGACGCGAGTCGAAAACACCGTCGCCGAGAGTCGCAGGCGTCGCTGGGGAGGTGCGCAGCTGTGGACGCAGCCCTCGTGTTGTACGTCCCGCTCCTACGAGAGGTCGAGGAGACGCTAGGCCACGGCGGCGACCTTCGCCTTCGCCCCTCAAGAGAGCGACTACTCCTCGCGTGACCCACGGCGAAAACTACGTGGCTGACGAGCCGGGCGCGAGCGGGCTCCAGGATCAGAGGTGCTCGCCGACGTACGCGAGTCCGTCACGCCCGTCAGGTGATAAAACGACGCACAATAGCGTTACCTCAAGGCTACCGAGAATTGCGCGGTTTTTGGCAAAACTTACCGCTGTTAATCTGATGGAAAGAGGATGAAGAAATTAATCGTCACGATCTCCCAGTCATTGAGTCAGAATTTTCCAAACCGGGAAAGCAGATTAGAGAATTTATTTGGGCAACACTGCTTTATTATTAATTTAAATATAATATTTTTCGTGTTCAGATACATTTGTGAAAAATGTGTATGATTTTAAAAATGATCTTTTTTATGACGATTTTTAATGTTATGAAAATGTTATGAAAAGGTATGAAAGAATAAGAAATTTCCTAAATCTTAACCGGAGATTTAATTAAGGAAATGCAAACATCGCATTTGTTCGCTAAATTAAACGTTGCGAGTACACACTCTAATGAAGATAATTTCTTCCAGAACATGTCTTTCGCACTATTACGTGTTTTAACACGAACATTTCCTAGCTAATCTGAATAATAATAACAAGCAACACACAATACGAAGTAGAACAATGTAGGCAGTGTTCTCTGATATCCATACAAACCAATGTCTGAATTATATTCCGCCTCTCATGAATATTGCATTCATCGGAACAAAGTTTCCCAGAACTAATTCGTTGAAATCAACGTCCGAACGTGTAAAGTTGCTCCAGTAGCACTCGGTAAAATCAAAACCTTCACAAAGTTTCAATCCATTTGGCACGATTCTTAACACGATTACTAATTAATGTAATTGTAATTACAACATTTGTTATTGATAATTGATAACAAATTTTACTATCTTTCGCTGACAAGCCTGAATCAAAGCCTCGCCTCTAGATTAATTTAATTACATAAATTTTTCTGCGAATTATGCACAGTAAATTCTTAATACATATTTAACCAATGAACTCGAAACGCAATCGTTAATCACAAGTCAGATATTAGAGCATCGAGCAACATGAATCCATCAATTCCATCATCATGTTTCGATTTCACCGAACAGTAGCGTGTACATTCCCATCTAAATTGGCGGACTTGGCCGATGAATAGCGACAGACGCTTTCTCCGCCTGCGAGCGAGGAATCGCT